ACGGGCAGCACTTCGGCTTCCAGCCCTTGGTGTGGCAATTACTGCAAGGGCTGAGTCCCCCCTCCATGTGAACTTGGGGTGCCTGTGCTGACCAGCTTGGGGTCTCTCTGGGGACTGCCATGACCGGAGCACGCCCGCTGCCCCCTTTGCCGTGCCCACATCTTGGAGCAGGGCCAGTGAAGCGGCAGCTCGATGCAGTGTGCGAGCACTGCGCTCTCCTAAGGTCTTTCTCTGCCCCTGGCAGACAGCAAGGCTCCCTTTAATACTCCAATAATTCCCATTGAATTTCAATTTGGGGTTGAAATGGGTGGGGGTTTTGTGCCCCACCACTCTGCAGTGGTTTGGAAAATGCCCTACAAGACCAGAAGTGACCCATTTTTATTGTCATAAAATATCGAGGGAGGATTTTTTCCTTGCTTAGCTTTACAGCTCCCATAAAATGTGGTTTTCGAGCAAAGCCACCGGCCGGCTTCACAACACCGTGTGAGCGAATCTATTACAAGCTCCCCATGTTGTGTGCCCGTTAACACAGGGAATTCGTCGGTAGCTCAAGAAATAATTGGCTCGTCAGCAATTAAAAAGCTGGAGCTGCTCCTCGGGCTCTTTCTGCATTCTTTTCCCTGGGTGCGAGTTACTGGTTTTGCTGGAGTTGCTGTTGCCTCAGAATAGCGTGAGATCGGAATTGCTTCCTTGACTTTTTATAGCCTTAGGCAACGACCGATTCCCTCAGCTTAATGATGTCCCTTGGAATTAATTATTCTCATTTGCATCCAAAATATAGGACAGCACAGGCTGTTGGCAAAGGAAACAGGGAGCATCAGCACGCTCTCCGGTTTGGTGGCTTGTGGAGCTGCCGGCTGTTGCAACAGGCTGGGGACGGTGCAGCTGGCCCCACTGTCCCCTCGCCCTCCTGGGCAGGGAAGCGGTGCGTGCTGGCAGGCAGGACACCCTAATTTTACATCCTCCCTCCTTCTCTTGCAGCCATGTTACCTCCGAGACTGGGAGATGCAGGTGCATTTTAAAATCCACGGGCAAGGCAAGAAAAACCTGAACGGAGACGGCTTTGCCATCTGGTACACCAAAGATCGCATGCAGCCAGGTAAAGCACTACCGGGGTGGAGGCCGTGCCCCGAGGGGAAGGGGTTTGGAAAGCACGTGCCACCTGCCTGAGGACACCTTCTCCTCTGTGGGCTCACTCGGGGAAATCGCAGCTGGGAATTGCAGTGTCCTTAGGGAAACTGCAGTGTTTTGGGGCTTTAAGGCTGTTTTTTCTTTCGCCCTGGCAGGCAAAGAGGGAGTAACCGTGCAGGAGGCCACCTCTGAGCCCCAGCACCTTGAGTTGGGGGTTTACGGGGCCCCTGGGAGGCTGGAATCAGCTTGGGGGTAGATGGCTTTGGGATTATTCTGCCCTGATCTTGAGATGGGTGATGTAAGCGTGGGGCTTCCTATGCTGGGAGTCAGCTCCTTAAAAACCAGACTGCAGAGGGAAGCTGGATGTGTTACCAGCAAAAGGTAGAGGATTTAATCTTGCCCTCTGATTTCCCCGCCTGGAGGATCTGTGTACCTGATTAACTGCTCAAGGCTGCCTGGAGCTCTGCAGCGCTCAGCTCTGTCTCTGGTCCTTGAAGAGGCGATGCAGCTCCATCCTATGGTAGTGAGTGGGAACTGGGGACAAAAGATCCCTCCCTGCTGATTTCCCATCATGGCGCCCAACCCGGGACCCCTGCCACAGCCATGTTAACGAGCCTTTGCATGCCCTGACCCCGTACATCTTCCCAACTGGATTTGCGTGTGGGTTTTGGTGCAGAGTTATGTGACTTGAGAGTAAATCTGCCCCTGTGTTGTCTGGAGAGCACCTGCCTTGTTACCTGATACAGAGAACAGCACGAAGGGGTGGGTAACAAACCCTTTGCAATCCCTGCCTGGCCTTGCCACCCTTATTTAGAGCCTCTCGTTCCTTCTAGGACCTGTCTTTGGAAGCAAGGATAACTTCCTGGGCCTGGGAGTGTTTGTGGACACCTACCCAAACGAGGAGAAACAGCAGGAGGTGAGCTGGGAAGGATAAATGTGACCGTGCTGCTTGCCAGCTGCCTGCAGAGCATGGCACGGGCAGCACTGAGGTTACGGCTCACATCGCTGCGAACGCAGCTCTCCGTTGGTGCTGTGCGATCCTTTTTTGAGCTCTTAAATCTGCTTCCTCTCCGCTGCCTTTCCCTGCCGTGCTCTGTGTAGTTGGTTTTTCTTCCTAGTGAGGCAATAACTCTTCAGAGATGTGAAAAGCTGCAGGGTAGTTTTGTGGTCGGCTTTACCCGGAGGAAAAAAGCTTTCAGGGCAGGAGAAATGTAGCTGATGGTACCACCTCTGCGTTGTGAGCTCCTGTGCTGTCTGGAGGCTGCCAGCAAGTAGTGCTTGAGGTGAAGCTGTACCAAGAGCATGGTTTGTGTAGATCTCGAGTAGAACAGTACCTGAGCTGCTACTATTTTACTCCAAAACCTTGGTGCTAACCCCACCGCCTCTCACAATCCCCTTCATCCCAGGGAGAGAGACAAAAGGGTTGTGGTTGGGATATGCCCTGACCTCAGAGCTGCTGAGCAAATGTTGAGTAACTGCTGGCTTTTGGTCAAACACCCAAAGCTCTGGTGCAGGGGTGGACTTTGTGCTCTTAAAAACCTTTCTGAGCCGTCTGGCACCGCGTTACTGGCAACGCTCGGGGATTAGCATGGCGTTGGTTGGATCCTGTAGATTTACAGGGTGGCAGCTCTGCTTTTGGGGGGTAAAGGGACGCACAACAGGTCTTACTTAAAAGAAATAATCAGTGGAACGTGGTTGTCCAGCTTCCCAGCGCAATCTGCAGCTGGAGGGGGCTGCCCTCCTCGGGTCAAGCACTGAGGAAGGGAAGAGGTGGAGAAATGCTGATCGGGCAGTTGCTGTAATGGTGCGTGGCTTCATGGCTGCTTTCTCTTGCCTTTAAAAGGAGGAAAAGAAGTGTCTTATCCTCCAGGGAAGAGGGACAGGTTGGTTGTGGGTCCCTGGAGAGCGGTCATGGCCAATTTGGGTGCTGGCTTTTGTGAGAGTGAGCTGCTGCATGACAAGGAGGAGGAATGCCTTACGTGGCAATGCTTGGCGTGGCTTTTGCCTACTGATGCCGCTTCCTAGCTGTGTGTCCTGGGATATTTAGTACCTAACACCTAAACCCCCTCTCTGCTTTAAGTCTCTGCTAAGCCGATAACGCCCTGAGCTCTCCAGGGAAGAAGTTTCCGGGTTGCAGGTTAATACTAAAATCTGGTCTGTGACCGTCTTGCTTCTGTGCTCTTTCTTGCTTTGCGATAACCCTGGACTGGCAGGCTCAGAAGAGGAGGTACAGCCCGGGAAATCAGGTACTTGCTCTTGCTGACCTACCCGTTCTCAAGCTGTCGCGTTGCACCTTGAGGAATTCCCTCCTCCGAGCTCCAGAAATCCCTGTGTGAGCTGAGAGACTGCATGGAAACTGGCTGTCCTCCATCCCAGGTGTCTGGGAGCTGAGGCTGAGCCCGAGGATGGCTCGGGGATGAAGTGGGATCGTGCTGTTGTTTTGTTGAGATGGATTCCTGGGGGGTGAAGGAGTTTGGAGTCCATAGGGCTGTTGTGGCTCTTGACGGTGTGGTGGGATGCGTGGGCAGCCGGTAGAGCTGAGCCGTGGCTGGCGGGGCGAGAGCAGAAACTCATCCCCAGCCTTTCCCGCCTCGCAGCGCGTCTTCCCCTACATCTCTGCCATGGTGAACAACGGCTCTCTCACCTATGACCACGACCGGGATGGGAGACCGACTGAGCTGGGGGGCTGCACGGCCATGGTGCGCAACCTCAACCACGACACCTTCCTGGTGATCCGTTATGTGAAGAGGAGACTGACGGTGAGTGCCGCCGGCCAGGGAGGAGCGGGCTGTGGGGCCACGGAGGGGCTAAGGGAGCTTTTTCATTCCTCAGGTGTTGATCGACATCGACGGTAAGCACGAGTGGCGAGAATGCATCGACGTGCCGGGTGTGCACTTGCCCCGTGGGTACTACTTTGGGACCTCTTCTGTCACTGGAGACCTATCAGGTACTGCCCTAGGGTCCCCAGCCTCGTTTCCCAAGCACTTCTGGCAGCTCCTACGTGGCTTTGGGCGTCTGGAAGTGCAGCTCAGTACCTGGTGGGGCCTATGGAAGCACATGAAAACCTTTCTGTGCTTTAAACATCCTTGAGCTGTGAGCGGGAGCCTTGGATTTTTTTTTTATCTTGCAGCAACTCCTGAGGAGCCAAAAGCCTGGTCTGGGCATGTTGCTTCCCGCAGCGCTTCCCACTTTCCTTGAGCTCCCTGGCCCTGACCTCAGCCAGCCTCTCTTAATGGCAGCGGCTCTACCGGCTCAGCCGGAGGGTGCGTCTCCAAAACATGCGCCTTGGGAGGAGTGAAAACAGGAGGAACCTGAAAAAAAACCCCAACAAACCCTCCTGTACTCTCCTGCTGCAATTCGTGGTGCCTGGCTTAGCCCTGAGGGCAGCGCTGGAAAGAACGCCCAGCACTGCGAACGCCCCAGGCAATACAGCCCAGCCATGATGCTTGCTCCTGCTCTCTGACCGTCCCCGGGACACGCCTGGGTGTTTTTTGCTTCGGATTTCGAGGCCTGAGAGCTATTGCCCACCCGTTATTGAGGGAGGGACCAGCCAGGCACACCTGGAAACAGCGGTGCAACATGGGCTGATGTAAATTGGGTTTTGCAGAGAGCTAAAGCTCAATCCCTCCACCTTCCTCAGCATAATCCTTCCCTCCCGGCGCTGGTTGAGGTGCTGTGAGGCCTGCCGTTACCACCCTGTGCCTCTTTTTGGTGGGTTTTAAGCCCGATTTGACTTAGGCCTCTACAAAAGCGCATTGATGGCCGGTGTCTGGGCCCATTGTTGACTAAAACAAAAGTTCCTTTTCTCTCTCGGATCTCTGCCCAGTGCCTGGGGAGCAGGCAGGCTGGCGTGGAGCGCTTGCCTTGCCCCACTAACAACTCTGCCATCGCAAGCAAGGGGAGGTAGAGCCACGTGAGGCTGATGCTAACGCATTCCCTTTGGGTGGCCAAGCGGTTTCGAGTCAGATGATCTTCTGCTCTGGGCTGTTTTACAGTTTTAAGTAGCTTAAAAGTTCCTGTTGGCAGAGGGCCCTGCGCTGGGGTGCAGCTCTGAGCCTGGCATAGCCCCTGCTCTGCAGAGGTGAGATTTGCCCCCTCAGATGGGGAGAGCCAGCGTCTTTGCCCCAAGTGATAACATGCTGTGGTGCTGCCTGTGGCACCTCAATCCCTGGCCAGAGCTGGATTTATCGGTGATGCCTCGGGACACATTTCTGCTCTGCTTCCAGACAACCACGACATCATTTCGCTGAAGCTTTACCAGCTGACGGTGGAGCGGACGCCGGAAGAGGAGAAGCGGGACAGAGAGGTGTATCTGCCGGTCGTGGACAACCTGAAGCTGCCAGGAAGTGAGTAGGAGCTGCCGGCCTCATGCAGGGGAAGTTGGGACCAGCAGGGATTTGGGGGGGGACCCGCAGCTGTGATGCTTGTGGAGCAGAAACCCCAACATCTCACCAGCCAAGCTCCAGCTGGAATTGGGAGGTCTGTGCCCCCCGACAGTTGTTCTTGCCCACTGTGTGACACAACCAGTGTCACAGCCCATCTCTGTTTGGCACGAGCATAGCGGGCAGCACTGCTCGCCCTCGGAGAAGTCGTCCCTTCCTGGGGGAACCCTGGCCTGCTGGGCTAAGCCTGTCCATTCCACTTTGGTCATGCCATGACCAAAATGGGGTGTGCTGGTCCACTGGAAGCTCACGGAGGTTTGAACATTGATGGTGTCATCTCCCCTCCAAGAAACCCCACCATAGACACATCCATGAGCCCCGTGTGTGCCCTGAGGTCTCATGGCTCTTGCCCTTACAATGAGCTGGGCCCAAAAGCTTTGGGAAGCCAAACCCTGGGGTGGTGCCAGCCTGGCAGGGTGTGTTGGGGGGGTTACCGGTGGGGCAGTGTGGGGCAGTTAAACCCCCTCACGCAGGTAAATCTCAGCTGGGTTTTGGGGCGCTGGGGGCTTACGGACTTTTTCTTCCTCTGTTGTGCAGTGGAGGCACCGCTGGAGCCCATGAGCGGCCTGGCTCTCTTCTTAATCGTCTTCTTCTCCCTTGTTGCCATCGTTTTTGCCATCGTCATTGGAGTCATCATCTACAACAAGTGGCAGGAGCAGAGCCGGAAACACTTCTATTGACTTGGGAACCCCCCTGGGATGGCCCGTTGCTAGTCCTGGCTAGCCACCCCGCCCCCCCCCCGCCCCAGACTGGCCAGAGTGTGATGGACCAACCCTCATGGCAGGGACCCTTGTGTCCTCCCCTCACAAACCCCAGTGGGGACGGCTGCCACTTCTTATCGGGCTCCAGAACTCCCACGCCGCTCCCGGTGGGAGCAGGGGATCCCCAGTGCAGCGTGCGATGGACTGGGAGCCCGGCGCCACGGGGATGGACCTGCCGTCCCCCGAAGGAGCTTTGCTTTGTGAGTTGTTTAGGAGGACGGGCTGGGCCCCGGTGCGCTGGTGGTGCTGAGCCATCTCTCTGCCATCCAGGGAGCCACAACACGGGCAGAAGTCGCCACCTTGGCTGTGAAATCCCTGCTGAGGGACACCAGCGAGCGCTTGATTTCCTCACCAAGCTTTTTCCACAACCCCTTGCGGCGTTACCGTAACCTCGCAACCCCTCGTCTCCAGCAGTTTCATTTCCAGGATGGATTTCCCAAGCTGTTCATCCCGCTCCGGCTGTTTTCCATCGCCTGCCTTGGGCTGTCTTTGCAGACCGGACGGCTTTTCTTTTGTCATTTGAACTCCCCTGCTGCCCCATAACCCCTCTCTCGCTTGTTAAGTTGCCGAGGTTTGGTGTTTTGGGGATGCTGATGGTTTTTCCCCGGCAGCAAGGCAGGTTGAGTGGGAACCTGCCTGGTGGCCGGGCTCCCCCCTTGGGGAACAGCCGGTCCCCGCCGCGAAGCCGACCTCGCTGTAAACCCTTCCTCGTTTTTGGGGTGTAACGCTGGGCTCCCCATTTCTAATAACCGTTTGCTGCTGCGTCTCGGGGCTCAGCCCCTCTCCCTGCTCCCCAGGGCCGCCGCCGAGCATGCCACCGCCTCCGCACGCCTCCCGTCCTGGCGCGGCCTCCTGCACCGGCGCTGTTTGCATGTCGTGTCGTGGCTTCTGGCAGCTTTTCCCTCGGTGCTCTCTGCATCCCGGGGGCCCCTCCGAGGAGGCGCTGAGCCTCTGTGGGGTGTTTTCCCCTGCCTCTCGGAGCCGGAGCTCTCGCTGCCTTTCAGGGAGTCGTCGTTTCTTCCTACCTCAGTGACTGCCTTGGTCAATGACTTCTCTGCGTTTCTCTTTCTGGTTCGTCACAGCCGCCTTCAGCCGTGGGGACCTCGTCGGTCGCTCGCAAGGTGACAGCATGGAGGGCGCAAGGTCCCCGCAGGGACCCAGGAGAGGGAGATAATTAGGTCAATTTGTCCCAGGGGAGTCCTAGTGGCTTTGGGGACATCAAGATGGCAAATTTGCCACCCCACCGGCCCCATCAGCGGCAGCCCCCTCCTCGCCGGTGTCCTGGGGAGCTGTGTCCTCGCCCTGCTGCTTTCCAGGACCCTCGCACCCGGGATGGATCCCCACGGGGGTCCCAGTGGTGCCTGGGGACACACACACGTGTGGCTGGGGGCTTTATTTGGCAGGATGCTGTCGTCGGGGGAGGTGGGAGCCTTTTTTTTTTTTTTTTTCCAAGTGCCCAATGCTGGTTGTGTTGTGAAAGGAGAGTTTTTTTCTGGTGTTTTGCCTCGTTTTTGCCTGATAACCAGGAAGCGAAACGCGCGTGCCTCTCCCTGGAGCTGTAACTGGTGTCCGGAATAAACATCGGTGTGTGTGTGTGTTACACGGCTGTGCTTTTTGTCACTGCCCAGTCCCTTGGATGCAGCATTTCTTCCCTAAACCAAGGCCAGCGAGAATTGGGGGCCACATCCTGGTGCTGTGGGGCTCCCCAAAATGGAGTACCTCCTTTTGTTACACCCCATCCCATGAGGATGATGCTTTGACCATGACTGGCTGTGGCTTTATTAAAGAGGTGACGGAGGTGCGTGATGTCCCCTTGGTGTTCCCCGGGGCTGGTGGCACATCAGGGCTTGCCTGCGGGACGCTCGCCCCCGCCAAGGCGCAAGCTCTGGAGAGGGTCAACCAGCTTCATGGCCAAATAACCCTGCATGAAAGGATGAGAGGGGAAGCTCAGGGGGAGGGGGAGGGCTTTGCAGGTGGTTTGGAGGGAATCAGGGGAGCGGCCGTGCCCTCGGTGCTCACCGGGGCGGCGTAGATGAAGGTGAGGAGCAGGGCGAGGAGCAGCAGCAGGGCCAGCCCCAGGCTGATGCGGCAGCGGTATTGCCGCCAGATGCCGTAGCGCAGGCCCCGCATGGGTGCTTGCAGCC